ATGATCAGGACGAATAACAAGCTAAAATAGTGAAATAATAAAATATACATATAATAATGTAAGAAGAAGAGAAAGAAAGATGGGGAATGATTTCTAACGTTGAAAATCGTTACTATTTATAGTCATTTTTGTTATTCGAAAGAAATAGACAATTGGTAAGCAATCAACATCAAATGAATTTCATTTCTGTTTGTAAAAGTTAACATCCCGCCTACTACATAAATTGGTCTTTTGATAGTTTAATTGACTGTTGTACAAGCGATCGTAAAGATCACAAGCATTCCTAAGGGTGACAAAAAAACAAATTTTGTTATTTTCACTAGACCGCTAATTGATCTTTTATGTTGTCGTGTTACATCGTATATGCACCGACAACATTTATTCACGATCTTTTATCTTTTTGGCATACATTTTTCACTGGAAAATAATCGATATATGAATTGACTAGGAAAAAAAATAAATGAACATATATTTATGAGTTAATGAAAAGGATTTTAAATTAGAAGTTTTCTTCTTAAGAACACTAAAAGGACACCTTGAAAATTCATTATTGTTGATAGAAAAAAAGGTATCAAATAATATCCGACTTTGATCATCGACTATAGCGAGCGATAATTTTCGTACGAGTCTATTACAACATGTGATTCTAACAAAGTGAAAAAAAAGCAGTCTGAGCATTTACGACAACGAATGATAAAATATAATTTTTGAAAATGCAAAGTAAAAAACGGTCATCTAAATAAATACGAATGATTTTTGTAACTTTGTTCGAGGTAGTTTGTTTTGGAATCTATTTTTGTTCAGAAGTTCTTTTCAAAAGATATGTTATTGAATACTTCACAAGCTTCTATTTGCCGTAGCTTAGAACAATAGCGTTGAACAATATGAATTAAGGTCAAACACTTGCAAATAATCAGAGATGTCATAATATCCTAACACTGGGTATCGTCGACATACCAGTCACGATATCCATTCAAGTGGATATCTAAAATGCATACTAAAATGAATACCCATGTTCCTCATAGCTGAGGAATTTGAGTGCATTTGGTGTAATGGGAATGGGTATCCATTTTTATATATCCCCAGAGCTGAGGAATTTGAGTGCATTTGGTGTAACGAGAATGGGTATCCATTTTTATATATCCTCAGAGCTGAGGAATTTGAGTGCATTTGGTGTAACGAGAATGGGTATCCATTTTTGTATATCCCCAGAGCTGAGGAATTTGAGTGCATTTGGTGTATGTGCCGATATAAGCACTCGGCCTATTCTAGGCAATGTACATAACGACTTTCTCCTCATTGTCATGTGTATTCTCTCTTTCTCTTTGTCATGTATATTCTATCTTCCTCTTTGTCGTGTTCCTTCTCGTTCTCTCCGGTTGAGTGACGCGCCCCGGAGAAAGAAAGTGTATCTATCAAAGGAGAAGGATGATTGAAATAAAACAGTTCGATATCACGATAAAACATTCTTATCGTTACATGGCGACCCTGACAAACTAAACCTCAATCTTCTGATCGAAAATAAATAAACAAATAAGCGAAGTGAAATTATGTCATCTGAAAAAGGAACAATTGAACAAGCGGTTCACAAATTAGCTGAAGCAAATAACAACAGCAATACGCGTCTGAATGCACTCGAAACAAAACTAGATGAAATTCACCTCAATGTAATGGAACAAAACAAAAATATGAATATAAACGTACCAAACGAAATAATGAATGTACAAGAAAAAATGATAAATCAGATCGAAACCATTCAAAAAAGAACAAAAGAATTGCAAGACACAACAACGTCTAAATTAGAAGAAAAACAACAACAATGGGAGCAATTAACAGACAATATTCGAGATATGAGAGCAGAAA